TTTTAGTGAGAGGGAGAGGGAGCAGGGGGAGGGGGTAGGAACAGAGGGGGAGGGAGAGAGAAACTCAGGTAGACTCTGCACTCAGAGTGCAGAGCCCATAATAGCCCATAAGGCTCAGAGTGAAGCCTTATGCAGGGCTCAATCCCATGACCCTGAGATCATGACTTGAACTGAAACAGATTTGGACGCTCACCTGTCACCCAGGTGCCCTGTTGCAATATCAGATTTTAGATTCAAACTTAAGGAATTGAAGAATATCCAAAGTTGGGTATGTGCTTAAAGGTCGTTAATAGCATTCCTTCACTGAACTTGGATTTCTGGTCTGTTTTTTTGCACCATAACTGTGCAGAGTAATGTGAATTATAGTTATAAAGGGGGCTTCCTCCCTACCCCTTTCCCCCTGTTACTACCTTTAACACTTAAGCACAGCTACTGACTGTAGAGTAATATGTTCAGAATTTAGGAATTCTGTATATGGAGTTATACCATCTGGGATGCATATACTGTTGGATTGTTTGCAACACGAACACGATACAGTCTAGGTAAAACGCGTTTCATTGCCTGTTGTGATCATAGGAAACTTTGCATTTTTTGTCTTCTTTCATCATTTCTTCCTTCACCTTCAGTGAATCTAGACCATACTTGTCTTTAAAGTCTGGCCTTCTCCAAGATTTCTGCTCTACCTAACCTGTCCCTTCTCTAAACTTCTTTACTGTTAAGAACTATACTAAATTAGCAATGTAGTGCTTTATTATGTTATTTGATTTAATTTACAGGGTTTTTTGCCCCCTTCAATTAGCATTATCTTGTCCTTCCATCTAGTCCAGGAAGGGCTGTGAATGGTGTGAACTGAAAGAGCATTTTGTTTTTTAAGTAAGCAGTTGAGTACCACTTTACCACGGTTCACTGATTGCCTTCTGTGTGTGAGTTAGTAGGGCCCTAAATGTGGATGAAACAGAAAAATGGACCCCTCCCCTTGAAGACTGGAGTCTGGCATCTTTTTTTTTTCCCTTCCACAACTTAATCTTTATTTTTTTTATTTTTATTTTTTTAATAAATTAATTTTTATTGGTGTTCAATTTACCAACATACAGAATAACACCCAGTGCTCATCCCGTCAAGTGTCCCCCTCAGTGCCCGTCACCCATTCACCCCCACCCCCCGCCCTCCTCCCCTTCCACCACCCCTAGTTCATTTCCCAGAGTTAGGAGTCTTTATGTTCTGTCTCCCTTTCTGATATTTCCCACACATTTCTTCTCCCTTCCCTTATATTCCCTTTCACTATTATTCATATTCCCCAAATGAATGAGAACATACACTGTTTGTCCTTCTCCGATTGTGGAGTCTGGCATCTAATGGAATTTAAACTGTCCTTTTTCTAGAAATCAGTGATGAACATTCATAATAACTTCACTAGAAAGAAAGCTCCACTGGGGCAAAGCTCTGCAGTAATTCATTGATAGATCCCAGGTACCCAAGTCAGTGCCTCAGATATAGTAAGTGCTTAATAAATATTTCATAAATGAACTTTTCTAAGTTTTTATAAGTTTTATAAGTCCCTGCAGGACTGTTCATTTAGACAGGTCATATTATATGCCTTTCATTTCATTTAGGTGTCTCTCCCCACCTGCACCTGGTGGTATTCCTTTTCTGCTTCTTCTCCTTCTCCTTCTCCTTCTCCTTCTCCTTCTCCTTCTCCTTCTCCTCCTCCTCCTCCTCCTCCTCCTCCTCCTCCTCCTCCTCCTCCCCCCCCCCAGAAAAAATCAGTCTTGGGTATCCTTCTAGAATAGAATATCCTTCTAGAAATATTACACACACATATAAATATATGTATGTATATACATACATACACACACATACATGTATGTGTTATTATTTTTTTACACAAATTACATCCTGTTGGTTTCTTTCTCTTAAAAAATGTATCAGTTCTGTATCAGTGCATAGTCCTCTTACTTTTAGTGGTTACACAGTATTTTATTGCCTGGACATTTCATAATTTATTTAACCATAAAATTATTGTTGGATATTTGGGTTTTTTCTTTCTGCCTGCCTTCCTTCTTCCCTCTCACCCTCCCTCCCTCCCTCCTTCCCTCCTTCCCTCCTTCCCTTCCTCTCTTCCCTTCTTTCCTCCCTCCCTCCCTCTCTCCCTCCCTCCCTCCCTCCTTCCCTCCCTCCCTCCCTCCCTTCCTTTTCCTTTTCCTTTTCCTTTTCCTTTTCCTTTTCCTTTTCCTTTTTCTTTTCCTTTCCTTTCCTTTCTTCTTCCTTCGTCTTTAAGAGAGAGAACATGAGTATGCACGTGCATGGTACACAAGTGGGGATAGAGGCATAGAGGGAGAAGGAGGGAGAGAAGGAGAATCCTAAGTAGGCTCAGTGCTCAGTGCAGACCCTGACTGACTTGGGGCTCAGTCCCAAGACACTGAAGCTCATGACCTGAGCCGAAATTGAGAGTGGATCCTCAACTGACTGAACCACCTAGGTGCTCCTATTTAGGTTATTTTTGATCTTTTGCTCGTATAAATATCTTTGCTCAAAAGTCATTTTGCAACCTGTGCAAATAGGGTATTCCTAAACGTGAAATTGTAGAATTCCTTTAAGTTGAAAGTGTTTATGCATTTGTAATTTTGATAAGTATTGCTAAATTGTCCTTTATAGAGGGTGTGAATATGCCATTTTGCTACACTCATACACTCTATTTTATCAAAGTGTTTGATCTGTTCTGACAAGTTAAAAATATTTGTTGTGGCTTTAATTTGCATTTCTCTTATGAAGAAGTTTGAACATCTTTTAAATGTTTACATGCTTATCCTATTTCCTTTTATGTGTTCTGTCTTCATAACTTTTGCCCATTTTTCTGTTTGAGTATTGATCTTTATCTTCCTGATGTTCAGTAGCTCTTTATATATTAAAAACTATTTCCCAGAATGCCTGGGTGGCTCAGTGGTTCAGTGTCTGCCTTCGGCTCAGGGCGTGATCATGGTATCTGGGATCAAGTCCCACATCAGGCTCCTTGTGGGGAGCCTGCTTCTCCCTCTGCCTATATCTCTGCCTCTCTCTCTCTGTGTCTTTCATGAATAAATAAATAAAATCTTTAAAAAACAAAACAACTATTTCCCTGGCTATGTCTGCTTGTTATATTTCCATGTGATTTATAGAATCAGCTTGTCTAGTTACCAACCCCACTTAATTAAAAATCAGTCCTATTGGTATTTTTATTGTGTTTGTATCAAATTTATAGACAAATTTAGGGAGAACTGACATTCCCATGGCATTCAAGTTTATGTCTGTAGAACATAATAGGCCTTTACATTTGTTTAAACTTTCTTTTGTGTCTTTCAATAATATTTAAAAATTTTTTTTTCTTTTTCTTTTAATTATTATTTTTTAAATTTTATTTATTTATCCATGACTGACATAGAGAAATGCAGAGAGAGAGGCAAAGACACAAGCAGAGGGAGGAGTAGGCTCCAGGCAGGGAGCCCGATGCGGGACTCGATTCCAGGTCCCCAGGACCATGCCCTGGGCTGAAGGTGTTACTAAACCACTGAGCCACCTGGGTTGCCCAAATTTTTTTCTTATAGATAATAAATGTTTAGGAATTTTTAAAAAAGATTTTATTGATTTATTCATGAGAGATACACAGAGAGAGACAGAGACCTAGGCAGAGGGAGAAGCAGCCTCCATGCAAGGAGCCTGATGTGGAACTCGATCCTGGAACTCCGGGATCATGCCCTGAGCCAAAGGCAGACGCTTAACTGCTGAGCCACCCAGGCCTCCCCATGTTTAGGAATCTTGCTGGATGTCTTAATATGCACACATTTGTAGTTAACATTTTCTTAAATTTGACTATTTGCTTGGGATATATTTTTCCTGGTTGATTCGCAGATAAAAGTAGTATTTGCAAAAAAGCACCTTTTCTTTTATCTAATTATTGCTCATTTATTATGCAACTCCAGAGAGCACACTTGGATTGGTCATTCCTACCAAATAGTGATGAGTCATTGTGATGATAAAGGACATTATTTTCTAATTCTTAACTTTGGGAGTATTTTTAATGTTTCCCTATTAAAATATGATGGTAGCCTTGTGATTGAGAGAGATCTGTATTTTATTATGTTAAGGAACCTGTCCACTTATTATTTTATTGATGTTTTGGCTATGAAAGGATGTGTGTGTTTGTTTGTTTGTTTATTTATTTATTTATTTATTTTGGAAGGATGTGTTTAATGAATATTTTGTGTATCTCTGGTGACTGTTTTCATCTGTGAATATGATGAATTTTAAGCTTTTGCATATTTAACTGTCCTTGTATTTTTATGATAAGTTCTACTTGGTCATGGAATGTTATTCTTTTAATATGCTGTTAGATTTGGATTCTGTTTCTCTATGTTTAAGAATTTTGCATTGATTCTCAGATGTGAGATTGTGTGTATGTGTGTGTTTTCTTTTTGCTTTTTAATATATATTATTCTATCTTCATAAAAAGAATTTGGGAACTTCTTTTTCTGTGCTCTTAAACAATATAAGTATATGGAAATAACCCACTCCTTAATTGTTTGGTAGAATTCTTCTTTGGAACTCTTTGACACCTGTGTTTTCCTAAGAGATAGTTCTTTGTAGCTTTCTGTCTATCTTTTCTGGTTTCATTAGCTTTTCTACCCTCTGGGAGTGATTTTGATAGTTATTGTCTTCCTAAAAAACTGTTCATTTAATCTAGATTACCTAATTTATTTGCATGGAATTGAATAAATCATCTTTTATTTTCCTTGGTACTGGTGGTTATTTCCCCATCATTTAAAGATTTTTTTGATTAAAGAATAAAGTACATGTTAAAAATATTTGAAACAATGTGTCTTTTAAAAATATATGATGTAAAAGGATCTAGCTCACTTCCTATCTATTTTTTATTAAAACTTAATTATTCCTGAGCTAAAGATTATAAAGCCCAGAACTTGAGATGAGACATTTCCTTTCTGATCTGGCTCTTCTCTTTTTGACAGGTCCAGAAGAGGAAAGTGAGGATGACCCTCAGCTCGAAGGCAGAGACCCTGATACTTGGCATGTTGGTTTTAAGATCTCGTGGGACATAGAGACTCCCGGCTTGGCAATACCGCTTCACCAAGGAGACTGCTACTTCATGCTTGGTAATTAGGAGGAGCAAGCTATACCAATGCTATACTATCTAAGTTTTAGATTACTGGCTACATATTTGGAATGTGTCTATTTTTTTTTTTTAAAGATTTATTCATTTATTTGAGAGAAAGCATGTGAGTGAGTGGGGGAGGGGCACAAGAAGACTCTTCAGGCTGACTCCCTGCCAAGCTGGGAGCCCAATGCAGGGCTCCCATAAGATCATGACCTGAACTGAAAGCAAGAGTCAGACGCCCAACCAGCTCAGTCACCCAGGCGTCCTTAGAATGTCTTTTCAAATAAACTTTTTAGGTATTTTATAGCAATAATGAATCTTCTACATGGTGGAACTAGTTTTTTTTGTTTTTATTCCCTTATTTTTCAGGTATTGCTCGTTTGTGAAAGTTACTTTTTTTCTCCCCCATTCTAATTGTTTATAGAGTTCCCAAATGTACTAAAATTTTCAGGACTTTTCATCAGTTACTCAGCTGTCCAAATGAGCTTATCAGTTTGAAATAGTAAGATGATTTACCTGTCTGTACAAGGTCTTAGTGAAACTTTTTTTCCAGTTTTGAAGTTAGTTTCTTCTCAGGACCAGCTGACCTGACAACAAGGCCTTTCTCTCCACTTGTCATTGGGTTCTTTGGGGAGAGTATTTCAGCTGTGCTTAGGCTAACCGAAGAAGCTGTGGCATTTGTGCAGCTTTTGCTTTTGGCTTTTTGCTCTAAGCATTTTGTTTTGTTTTTGGACTTTATACTTGTTTTCCAGTGCACAGTATATAGATAGTATCCTTTTCTACTTACAAAGCCTCCCTAGGTTTATTCTGTCATTGGCTTTAGCTCCTGACTATCCAGAGTTTATCTTACTCTTACCTGCCTGGGGGAATCTACTCACTTATTAGCTTTAGAATTGGAGAGCCCCAAGGCTCAAAGCTGGTATTTATGATAAGAATTATTTCTCAATGAATTGAGTATTTGTAGAGGGCCCACTACGTTCTCCATGTTGCTAGAGGTTCTGGAGGAGATATTGAAGATGGATAAAACCTGGTCTTTGCCTTCTAGAAATTCAGAGTTTGGATTAGTTCTTTAGGTTATTATCTCATCAAGCATTTTCCAAATTTCAGTCATTTACACGTCAGCTTCGAGTTTCTAGCCAGATCCCCATGCTGCCTGTATTATTACTTACGTAATGTTTTTCTCTAAAATAAATTCACTTTCTTTCACTGAAATGGATTTGCTTTACTTAAAAAAAAAAATTTTTTTTTTAGGATTTTATTTATTTATTTGGCAGAGAGAGAGCAAACATGCACAAGCAGGGGGAGTGGCAGGCAGAGGGAGAGGGAGAAGCAGGCTCCCCACAGAGCAGGGAGTTCGATATGGGACTTGATCCCAAGACTGTAGGGTCATGACCTGAGCCGAAGGCAGATGCTTCACCAACTGAGCCACCCAGTTGCCCCTAGAAGGAGATTTTATGACACAGTCTTAAGCAGAAGACCAATATGACTTGGTTTATAATTAGAAGAGTTTTAATAATATATAGAGAGTAAAATAGCATTAAGTACCTGCTGTTTTTGTTTGCTGAAGATCCTGAGTCCTGTTCTGTCTTTGTGAAAAAGGGACATGTGTCCCTGTTAGAGAGGTAACTATAATGGTACCAATCTGAGACTTTCTCTTTGTCAGCAGCAAGACGAGAAGATCATTATGTAGGGAATTTCTTTCCCATGATGTGTACTTCAGTGGTGCTTACAGTTGTGTCCCTTTACCTCTTCACTTCTTCCTGTGGGGTGATTGCCACATTTGCTGAATACTAATCTATGTAAGCCCTACATCTCTTCTTTCCATTTGCAGGTTGCTCTACAGTTTATGAATCAGTTTGACATACATAGTCTCATTCACTTAGTAATCAAGCTTGTCGTGGAGATGGTATGGAGATTGTTCTTTTCTTTTCTTTCTTTCTTTTTTTTTTTAAGATTTTATTTATTTATTCATGAGAGACACACAGAGAGAGAGGCAGAGACACACACAGGCAGAGGGGGAAAGCAGGCTCCATGCAGGGAGCCCGATGCGGGACTCTATCCCGGGTCTCCAGGATCAGGCCCTGGGCTGAAGGCAGCGCTAAACAACTGAGCTACCTGGGCTGCCCAGATTGTTCTTTTCTTAAGTGATTTGCCTAACATAACTGGGTTGATACAGGGGATTAGGATGGTTTGCAGGTGTCACATATAGTGCTTTTCCTGCTCTAGAAGGGACCATTTGATTCCAATAACACAAAGGGACTTGATTCCAATACACTGAAATCTCTGTGTGGGAAGATTTTTAGGCTGAAGGTCATCTCTTCCTGAGACCCTCTCCTGCTTGCCTTGGGAACTAAGTATCTATTTTGAAGACCCTGCCCCATTGATAAGCATTATTTGTAGGTTATAGATTATTACTCATCTTTTAATGTAGCATTTGGATATGGATATTTACCTTGAGTATAAATGAGTTTTAATTTCAGCCAATAAACCATTTGCCTTTGGATACTTTGCTCAAGAGTTTCTATTAGCAGTTTGTAACTTTGAAAGAGGTGAGAATCATTTGGTGCCCTTCTAAATTGCTAGATTAATTTTCTGCATATAAAAGTAGTAAATATACATTTTAAAAGTTCAGCTACCTTCTGTTTATTTAAGAACATCTTGTGTTTTTTTTCTGATTATGAGAGTAAAATACATATTCCTTGTAGAGGAAACAAACACTGAAAGGTAAGAAATGAAAGAAGAGTATAAAAATCAGGTTCATACCTGCTTTGGTATATTCCTTTTCAGTCTTTTTTTTTTTCAGTCTGCACGTATGTGTATCTGGAATAATAGTAGTATGTGAATAATGAGCACATTTACTGGCAACTAACAACAAGTCAGACATCCTTTTAATCATCTCCATAGCACTAAAAAGTAGATGATAGTTATATTGCCCAAAAATCAGTTTGGGTTAAAGTGATGTAGTGACATACCCATGGTTACACAGTTAGTAGGTGCATGGGTTGGAACTTGTTCTTTTCTCCCATTTGGGCCTTGACACCCACATCAAGGGACCCCCACTCTGGGCTCCTGGGCCCTCCTCTCCCTCCCTCACCGTGATGCCTCTGCTTCACCTAAAGGCTTTAGAACTAAATTGTTCAGGAAGGAAAGAGAAGATAATGGAGTATTCTGTACACTTCTTTCTTTTTAAAGTTATGTTTCCCTTTCCTCAGAAATAGTAGATTAATAATGAAAATATTAATTACATTGCCTTTTGCCTTTTTTACCTATATGTTATAATGAATATACATTTTAAAACATATATTTGTTCCTTTAACTACTGTAGGTTATAAACAGAAGTAAGTGCTGTTATTTTATAGGAGCTGATAATCCAAGATACAATATCTATTCCTGATTTTCCAGCTCCTGCCTTCTTCAGATATAGGGGAAATAGTTGATACCTTACCGATCTGGGCCAGGCACAGCACAATGTAGCTAAAATGTGCTTTTAATATATTCATTTTTAATGTATTTTCTTTATTATTCTTAAAGAAGATTATTATTTTCTTTATTATTCAGTTTCTGTAATGAACTTCCCACCATCTCCTCTTAAAAAATAAAAGAAAAAGAAACAAAAATAAAAGGCACCATAGTCTTTTGCTACCTTTTCTCTTTACTTGTTAGAATCCAGATCCTATATGGAGCCCTGTGGAGGGACCTCGGCCCTGTGCTGATACCTGAAATCTGAACTTCATAGCACTTATGAAAAGGAAACAGTTTAGCTCAATTTATAATAATATATTGGTCTGCAGAGGAAGTGCAGACTGAACCCTGCTGTCTCAAGTAAATACTCCAGGGGTGTCTGATGGGGAACGTGTCGGGTGCCTGTAATAAATCCACTGCCTGTGGAAGTGAGTGAAGGCCCTGCTGGCAGTGCCTGAGGACACGCTTAACTGGGGTTGTCACGGTTTTACTTTTAAATTGGAATCTTTGCCCTAATCTCAGAGTTAGACATGACCAGATTTGCAAACAGATTTACAATTTTCACTAATTTTCCAACCAGGACTTCAAAACACACTTAGAGGAAAAAAATACACCCTGGTCTTTCTCAGAGTAGGATGATTTACTTTGCCACAGATGTTTTCCATAGACTGAATGTAACCAGGGAGTTAGGGACTTAAAAGTGGCTTGGAGACAAACTGTGGGTTTGTTTTTTTGTAGAACAGATTATACAGTTCTAGGGACATCAACCAAATTATGTTCATTAACCAGGAGCCTAGTGTAGAGATGGGATGTTTCAGGACAAAGGTGAGCGCTAGGCAAACATTTGAGGTAAACCTTTTTATCCCCTCCCCTTCATTTATTATTTTTCGTCACTGGTCATGACTGTTCTCTTTGGCCTATTTTTGTTTCCTTCAATCCAAATTAAGTCTCATTTTCAAAAAGTTATCGCAAAGCTTCAAAAAGTTATCAAAGCTTTAGTTGCCAAGTAAAATTTCCGTGGCAAAAAAAAAAAAAAAATAGCAATGCGAATTGAAATACACACTGTTTCTTTATTTGGCTTTGCTTTACTTCACCAACAGTTTTGGGCAGAATGATGAAAGGCCATTTCCTGTCAGGTGACCAGGTCCCAGACTCTCTGAGTTGTCTATTGGCTACATACTGTGCATGTTTCTCCCGAGTCTCTGCCTCCCCGGACAACTAGAGCTTCTTGATACTTGCTTCCTTGGGTTATTGGGAGGCCAGAGAGAAAAAAGAGCTTTGCAAACTACGATTTGAATGTGGGGACCAACTGTGAAGATGGGGAGCTGGGCCATGGCATTACAGGAGAACCCAGGAGGCGAGTGGGTGACAGAAGAGTGCTGAATGTTATGTTCTTACCCTGCCTCAGGCCCTGAGTTTTGCCAGCTTTGCCCATCACTGTTCCATACATATACTTCCATGACTACGTAAAGGAAGTGCAAGAAAGGGCGATCTCACCAACTGCTTCTTGACGGGGAGAAGAGTTGAACCAGAGCT